CCATCCCCAGCATGTCATAAACTGGGTGTGGTGGCAAACACCTGCAGTGCTGGCATTGGTCATTACACTGCCCTCTTAAAGGCAGATTAAACTCACGGGCTGGATACTCGATAGGATCACAGGCTAAGTCGTAAGCGACCTCAAGGTGTGTCATTAACCCAGCTGCAAGACCTAGCAACAGTTCCAATCGCTTTGAGTGTACAAGATATTTTTATAAAAGCCTACCGCCACAGCTAATGTCCTGCAAACGGGAACTATGCATCCTGTGAGTGCTGCACATTAGTGAGGGCAGCTGGGATGCGGTCCATTTCGTGACTAATGCAATCGCTCGAGTATCTCAGTGATGATGGGGATTTGGATGTTTTCAGTTGGTTTGGGTTAGATGCAAAACGCCAGTGAACATTTGATATGTATCTTTGGGGTGTGCTTGTTTTTCTTAGGCACATAGGAGGGGAATCATTGGGCAGATGTGGGCTTAGTGTTTGTAGATCAGGTGTAGGTTACTTTTGGTGTTTATTCAAACACCTAATGGATTTATTATTATTGTATATGACAGGGCACATACCACAGTGCACATGTGGATGGCAGAGGACAATTTCATTTGAACATCTGAGATTTATGGTGAAAGAAAAAAGGGGGACTTGCAGAGAACATGCGTTTTCAGCCTTGGTCAAACTGAAGTCTAGTTTGATCTCTCTCAGGTCTGGCTTGAAGAGCTTCTGCAATGCCCGGTTCACTCTTGCTAGAACTGGAGACAAGCTGGGGAAGTGGCTGTTCAGCAGACAACAGGGCAGAGGAGCAAAAATAGTTAGCTGGGGCCTTGGGGAGGTGGCTTAGTCAGTAAAGTATTTCCCATAAAAGCATGAGGATCTTAGTTTAGATTCCCAGAACCTGTGTCATAAGGAAAGATCAGACCCCAGCCCTGGGGAGACAGAGACGGGTGATCTCTGATGCTCATTGGCCAGCCAGTGTAGTTGAATCAGTGAGCTCCAGGTTCAGCGAGAGACCCTGTTATAAGCCGGAAAGTGAAAGGTCATGGATACACGTTCAAGAATGATGCTGAGACAGATTTGGGGTGGGGTGGGGTGTAAAAGCTGAGTAGAAGAGCTATTGATACCCTGGACAGACAGACAGAGAAGAATGGGATGCATCATAACCATGGTGATAGTTAGGAGAAGAAGGGGTGTAAAGAGGAAATCAGGGTTCATGTAGCAGAAATAGGAGTTGCTTCTATCAGTGGTTCTCAACCTGTGGGTCACAACCCATTGGTGCGTCAAATGCCTCTTTCACAGCGTTGCCTAGGACCATTGGAAAGCACATTCATTACAAAATGATTCATAGCAATAGCAAAATTACAGTTATGAAGAAGCAATGAAAATAATTTTGTGGTGGGGGGCAGTCACTACAACATGAGGAACTGTATTAAAGGGTCCCAACATCAGGAACATTGAGAACCCTTTACTTATATCTTTCTCGGGGTTAGGACTCTTTCCACAGCACAAGCTTGCTGCTAGACTCTCTGATTCTCAGGCAGCAACAGGGCAGAGGGTGGGGACCAGAAAGTGTAGTCACTAATGATGTAAACTCACTTCCCCAGGTGCGGTGGTTTGTGGTAGACTGCCAGTCCCCCCATAAGCTCATATATTTGAATACTTGGCCCCCAGTTGATGGAACTGCTCGGGAAGGATCAGGAGCCATGACCTTGTTAGAAGAGGTGTGTCCCCAGGGAAAGGAGAGCTTACAGTTTCAGAAGAGTCATGTCCTTCCCACTGTGCCCACTCTACCTCCTGCTTGTGGATCAAGCTGTGAACTCGGAGCTGCTGTTCCAACTGCGTATTTCTGTGCCTTGATCTGCCATCATAAACGAACCATATGGAACTTTATGTCCCACTTAAACTCTCTTTTATAAGTCACCTTGATCATGGTATTTTGCCACAGCAATAGAAAAGTAACCAAGACACCAGATGGGAGATCTGGGTACTTGTAAGTCTCTCAGCTAGGAACTCACAGGCAGTGCCTCAGTGGAGTGCTGCGGGGATCTATAAGAGGTTAAGGGCTGCTGCAGATGCTAGAGCAGCATCTGGATTCTAACATTATATTCTTTCTACCTTTCACACACACCCCCTTTAGACAGAGAGAATGGTATTGTATGGCCCCAGCTGACCTGAAACTCTTGTAGAACAGGCTGGCCTTGAGCTCACAGAAATCTGACTATTTCTGCCTCTCAAGTGCTGGGATTAAAGGTGTGCACCACCACACTGAGTCCCTAACATTACGTTCTTACAGAAAGTAACTGAGGAAGATAACGCCATGTAGACTTTTGGCCTCCACAAGGCATGCACACACACATGCATCCACATCTGCATATACCTATACATTCATGAAGATGTGTAAATGTAGCACACACACACAGAGAGAGTTGGGGCGGTAACTGGATTTAGCGTGGCATGGTGATTATTATAAGCTGGTGGTTAATCTTTTGAATGCGATGTCCCCACAAATCTTGAACGTATCTTAGTTACCCTTTACTGTTTTCAGCCTTGACAGGGAACAAGAGAGGTTATATAGAGTCACTCAGCTGTGCATTGCTGGTTTTCAGGTGAACAATTACATGGTTTACATATCCAGCTAGGTGCAGAGTGAAGCAGGAATGTGACTTAATATTTAAGGTGGCAAAGTGGGCAGAAAGCCGAGTCAGAGATGTCAAGATTTTATCCTGCTTTTAGTTGCCCACCAGATGTCCTCAGGTATTGGTCCTTGCTATAAACAGAAAGCAATCCTTTCCATTCGAGGGAAAGCAGGGGACAGGCTTCTGTAAGAGGAACTTCCCAGTGTGGGACCTTCCCGGCAAAGCTCTGAAGGGGAGACCCACAGCACAGGAACTGGGCATGGATTCTGTTTGGATGCTAAATGATCTTTACGGAAATATGAGTTACTTCTGCCCAGTTTTGTGACAGGACTATGAAGAATATGAAAGTGTTAACATTTCAGAACCCGCTGCTGCCCCGGTCTAATATTAGTCATGAGGGAGTTTAATATTCCAACAGATCTGGAAGGAACTTGCTGTGTTAAACCCCTGCCTTTGTGTTCAAAGCAGACATTATCTTCTCAAGGTGGAATGGCCTTCCATTTGCATAATAGCTTTCCGTTTGTTCCCCCTGTTGTCCCAATTAATTGCCTTAGAATCCCCGACCTCTGTGATTTAGTCTTTCTCTCTCACCAATACTGATTTATGATCCGCTTCCCCCTTGATATGTAAAATGTAGAGAAGTTCAGACACTTCAAAGGCTTCACAGGACTCCCCCAGTTCTGGATACCAACTGTGGGGTGCCAGAGAGTGGATGAGCAGGGGTATGGGAGGGGTGCAAGCTCCTTGCTTAATCAAAATGTCTCCTTATGTTATGAGGAGGGGGTGGTTTGAAAGGAAAGGTTGTACGATGGGGGTGTTAAAATTCCTCATGGGAGTTCTCTTTCTTGAGATTTGGGGTGGAGACTGCCTAGGTAGAGACAAAAATGGCTAAAAATAAAAGCAAAATCTCCACACTTAAACTGTCAGCTTGGAATCATTTGGAGCTTAGCTTTAGAGGCCCAAGATGTCTTACACAGAATATCTGGAGCCTGACCCCTAGTGGCCCATGGCACCTTATACCAATGATCAGGCTCAAGACACACAGCTAGTCTGTAAAATTTACTATTAAACAAAACAATGGGAGGTCTGTCTGTTTCCTTAGCTTTACACTAGCACAGGACGCGTGCAATTAGACCGAGTAACTCCATCCTCAACTGCTACAATAAAAAACCAGACTTCCTGCACCATTTTACACAGTAAAATAGAGCTTTTGTGTTTAATAACACCATGCTTCTGTGACCCAGCGGTTCTCTCTTCTTCAAATTTCCCTGGAAGTCTTAAGGGGAAAGATTCTACGTGGCTAGTGGGTAGGATTAGGTTTTGAGACTCTAACATGTTCTTATCTACTTAGTGTGGTGAGCAATGATACATAAGGTCCCTCATAGGTTTGTCTTGTTTAAGCCTCACGTACTCAGGTTGCCCTTGTTCGTGGTTGGGGATATGTCTGGAAGATTGATGGGTCCCAACAGACTAGGTAAGACCTCCTGATCCTAAAAACCAAGGGGAGAGAGGGATGGTGAAATAAGCAAAGGGTTTGCTCTAGGGGAGCACATGGAGGACACGGGCACCATCAGCCTCAGCTCTTTGGAGTCTTGGCAGGAGCTTTAACACTACACAGGGAAGAGACACAAACAGGAGAGATAACAAGAAGCTTGCACGGTTCTGCATTTGTGAGCTTGTGGTCTGGCTGATCAAACTTGGCTGGATTGATGACTAGCTTAGGTTTTCTTCCGTTTGTGCCCGCTGGCTCCAGAGAAGGTGTCACTGCTAGAGTAGGCAGGTGAGCTCTCATTAACGGATGATGTTGTCCTCCTGTGGGGGTAGCTTCTATTGCTCTCATAGGATGGCTTCTCTCTCCTTTGGGGATGAGGGCAGCTTTTATCCTATCACGACTAATCTGCTAGATTCGGGGCTCCATAAACCCTGCAAATCTCTGGGTTACACTCAACCTCTTCTGCTTTAAAGGGAGCAGAGCAACTTTATTTAGGGCTAACAAACCTTGTGTTGCCAGTCTTTAAATGACACCTCTTAAACGAGTAACACATCTGGATTCACAAAGAGCGACTCAGAGTTTAAGGCAGCAAAGAAGGCAGCTGCAGGCCCAAGAGTCAGCAGCTAGCCTAAACAAGACTCGGTCCATCTCATGCCACTGAGATGAATTCTACCGGTATTTCTGTTCTGTAGTATACAGGAATAAAGTCCCCCTACCTTCTTATAGTCAACATTTACCCGCACCCCCAATTAGTTGATAAAAGGCAGATGAACAGAAAAGAGGGCAGCACGCAGTTTTTATTTGCTGTTAGTATTTTCATTTCATACCTCCGTACAGGGGTCTCATAGAAGAGGATATAGAAACACAAAGACATAGGCCTGAGAGTTTGTACTATTTTAGTAAATAGCAATACAGCTGTGGAGAACTTATGAGACAAAGGAAAGAGGCTGGACTTTTAGAGGTAAGTTGTGGGAAGGTAAGCACGCGGAGGGTGCCCAATGAAGGCTAAGCGTTGTTTCAGTGACACCTGTGTGTGCAGGTTCAGGTTGGTGACATCCCCAGATATGAAGCAGCTCTTCATCCCGGGACAGGAGAAATGCGGAGAGACACTAGGGATTTCTGCAGAAAGGGAGAGAGCAGAGAAGTCTTCCTACCTCTGCTATGTCTCAGTTGTCTTCAGCTCAGAGGAATCAACATGCCAAAGTAGCGAATTTGGGGCGGCCTCTGATCCTGTTCGGCACGGGAGTACATCCAGGTACAGAAAACCACTGTAGTCGTGGGTAAGGGGCTTGATGGATCTGTTCTTAAAGTTAGGACGATGGGGCTACGGCAGCAGGGGCTGAGCTTGTTGTAATAAGGCAGTCGTGGTGGTGTAGGTAAAGGTTCTACACCCAGGATGCTCAGCTCAGGATAAGCAGGTGCTGCGACATGGGAGTGAGATGGAGCCGAAGGGAGGAAGAAGCAGAGGAGAGGACTTGAGGCGAATCAGCAGACTTTTATCAGGGGACCTGGGGGTCAAGACCAGAGAGATAAATAAGATTTATGATTGCAGGGGCAGGAAGGGAGGGAAAAGGCTACAGAACAGTAAAGCCATGGAAGGATGTGTTGCAAAGAACTGGTTGACATGGTCTGGGGGGCTGGCGGGGTAAGTCTGAAATCTACGGGGCAGGCTACTAGGAAGTGTAGGGGGGAGGCTTGACGGAATCCGTATTTCTGCTCACAGGTGGAATCTATTTTCTCAGAGATGCCTCAGTTCAGTTTTTGAAGCCCTTCAACTGACTGCAGCAGGTCACTGAGCATAATCCCTTGTATTTTAAAGCCAACGATAGAATTAGTCATACCCGTGACATTCCTTCACGGCAACATCTCGATAAGAGTTTGTGTGACTCATTCGGTCCTGTAGGTCAGCCAAGTTGTGATCGTTCTTCTTGGCTGTCAATTTGATGGAATGTAGATTGCTATGGAAACAAACCTCTGAGTACGTCTCTGGGGGGAATTTCTAGATGATATTAATTGAGGTGGGAAGATCGGGCAACATCATTCCGAGGGCAGGGCTTTCTAAAGAAGCCAGAAGGCAAACTAATAGCAACATTCGTCTCTCGGCTTCCTAACGGTATATCCAAAACGGTATATCCAAGGTGACCAAAATCCTCATGCCCCCATCACTGTGCCTTGACTCACCTTGATGTACTGGCCAAGATGCTCGAACCGAATCAAAGTGAGCCCTTCTTTCTTTAGGTTGTTTTTGTCGTAGCCATGAGTCGAGTAAATAACACATGTGTTGAGACAAAAAAAATCGACCCCTACTGTGCTCAGAACACACTTACTTACTGAGGAATTAATGTGTGCTGTTTGGAGAACTTGTGTTCATTGATTCTTGTACTCTTTCCCACAGACACACGAGGAAGTCAGCACTGCTGCATGGGTCAGGAAACCCTGCTGTCTTCTCGTTAGTATTTCCTCTCCTCCCCTTCCCAGGCCTGCGGTGGGTGGGTTTCATGTTGCTATAGATTTCCCATTCGGTATGGCCCTGTGATTTGTTTTGCTCAAGAATCACGGGTAGAAACAGACCAGAGCCTATCTTTCTGTCTCCCGGTCATCCTGCTGAGCTACGTGCAGACGGTAGCTTCTCTCAGCTGCGGCCTCCTGGAATGGGCCACGAGAGCAAAGCCTAGCTGCTCTTGTTGGGTGCGCGATATGCGTTGTTTGCTGGTGATCTTAGAAGGTTGTTATGGCTGGGGTTGGAAACGACCTTCGTGGGCTTATGTGTTGACGGCGTGGTCTCCAGCGAAGCCGTATTCAGTGGTGGGGGCCTTTAGGTGGACCTTAACGTCTTCGGTGGGTTGACCTGATAGACTGTGGGGAGGAGCCCGGGGAAATGTTAGGGGGCGGAGCCTCGAGAGGAAGTGGTCACTGTGAATGTGGCTTTGTGTCCCAGCCCCACCGCTGCTTCTTGACCATTGTGAGGTGAGCAGATTTGCTCTCCCAGTCATGGTCTGTTTCGCCCCCACCCAGGGACAGTGGAGCCAGGTGACCGTGGACTGAAGCTCCAGAAACTGAGCCAAGAGAAACATTCTCCCTCTATGTTGACCCCCCACCCCCCGCCCCAGGTATTTTGTTACTGTGATGGAAAGCTAATGCAGGGCTTGTTTATTCCTGGCAAATAACATGTCATAGCCTGATCATCCCATTTTATGGGTGAGGAAACTGAGGCAGAGAGAAGTTAAGTAAACTAAGTCACATTACTAGCCAGTGTTAGGTCCAGGACTCAAACTCAACCTGTTAGCTTTCTGTCATGAGCGAGCGCTATAATCACCCCGGTTGCTGTCTTTCCTAAGGCTTTGTTCTTTTAATTCCCCGCTGTTCATCTGGGAGTGACTTCTGCCTCCTCCAAGAGACATTTGGCAATGGCTGGAGAGATTTTTGGTTGCCGCAAGCTGGTAGGCAAGGGGAGTGGAAGCCAGCGGCGGTGTGTCACATCTACCTTGCACAGGGCTGCTCTCGGAGGGCGGCCCTTAGTGTCAACAGTGCTGTTGCTGGAAAGCTGGGATGGACTTCCACATGAAAGTCCCTGTTTCTTGTTACCCACTTCTGCCCCCACTTCTGCCACCCTGTCTTCCTCTCCTCCCCTCCTTCCACCTCCTTCCCCATCTTCTTTCTCTCCTCCCTCTCCTCTTTCTTCATTCCATCCCCTTATGCCCTCACCTCCTTTCTTCTTCCTTCTCTTACTCTCTCTCTCCCTCTCTCCTCTCCCCCTCCCCTCTTCCTCCTCTTCCATTCTTCCTTCTCCTCTCCTCCTCTTTTCTCCTTCTATCCTGGTGCTTAGCTTGCTGTCTCCTTTTTTTTTTTTTAATTTCTTTTTCTTTTTTTTCAAGCTGGGGACCTCAGGCCATGGAAAGGTGCTGTCCACACTTAGTGTGGATTTTCTTCCTACCTCAGTTAACCCAATCTACAAATCCCCTCACAGATTACCACAAATGAGCCTTCATATACAGCCTTCGCCTACTTGCAACCAGTCCCGTGGTCTGTGGCGGAAGTTAGTTACTTAATGAATTGATCACAGTTGGGTGTCGGCGCCGCGAATGGTCTTAGCTGACATTTGCCTAGCGGATCTGGAGGTGTGAGTGGTGATGGCTCCACATTTGCTGGTGACACTTCACTGTACCAGGTAGTGAAATGCCAGGCTGCTGCTGCTGAGCCACAGGGAGATCTCAGCAGGCTGCGTGAGTGGGCAGTGGAGTTGCCAGGGACGAGCTCCAGTGTGGGCAAGTGCAAGGTGCCGCACTTGGCGAAAAATAAGCCTGGCTATTCTTAGAGGTAAGAATGGGAGGGGAAAATTATGAATCAAAGCTGAAGGGACTTCTGCGAGTGACTCCAGCCCTACCTGACCGTGAGACTCACCTGTGGGCTGGCAAGCTCTACAGGCACCCCGACTCCTGGCTCAGGGGTGCTCTCCCGGTAGTCTGGGCTTGGCTTTTTCAGATCCGCTTTAATTCTCTGCAAGAAAACTGAGCCGGGTTTGCTGGATTCCCAGAGTTTTTGAGAGAAGCCAAGAAACCTTGTTTGTGGCTATTATTGATTTTGCTCAAGTTCCCATTTTCCTCTTTTTGATAACTTTTATTTTCGATATACATTCTGTCTGCAGAAAAAGATGTATGGGAACAGTTAGAGCTTCCATATACCTGGGCCCAGAGTCATCACCCATTAACATTCTGTCCCTGTTACTTTCCCTTTTCTATTCGCCAAGTTAAAAACAAACACCCCACCCAACAGGCTGATTAAGAATGAATAGAATTTGGCCAGGCTATCCGTTGGTCATTTCTGAAGTCCAGCCCCACTCTGAGGCTAATTAAAATTGCTGGGTTGACGGGGGATATGGGTAAAGCCTTTGCTGCGAACATAGAAGGATCTGGTTCCAGTCACTGGCACTCACATAAAAAAGCTGGGCACACCTTTGTAATCCTAGAACTGGGGAGGCAGGGACAGGTGGATCTCTGGGGCTTGCTGACTGGCCAGCCTAGCACGCATAGTGATTTACAGACCAGTGTGACATACTATTTCTGTAGAAACGGCACTTGATGTTCATTTCCAGCCTCCATATGCACACACCCCCCTGTGCATGCACGTATGTACCCCCCCACGTATGGGCACGCTTCTCACACACAAAAGAACCACTGGGGTGGAGATGGACTTTTGCATTTTTGAAAGACGTATTTATTTTTATTTTATGTGTAAGAGTGTTTGTCTGCATATGTGCCCTACATGTGTATCTGGTGCTCACAGAAGCCAGAAGGGGGCGTTGGATCCCCTAGAAGCAGCTACAGACCATTGTGAGCTGCCATGTGAGTGCTGGGAACTGGACCTGGGTCCTCCTAACAACATAGCTATCTGTCCAGCCCAGGACATTTGTATCTGAAAAGAATTTCCTCCTGGTGATACTCAAGTGTAGTGGAGGCCGAGAATAACTGGCCTTGGTTCCTCAGAGTAGATCTCTCCACCCACGACTGACTGGCTTACAGGTGGAAACTTGACCCCCGCCCCCTTTGCCCAGTAAGAACAAAAAAAGAAGCAGAAAGTCTCATAGACCTTCTGGGCAAACTTTCTCCAATCCTAAAGACACACAGGGGAAGAGGCAGCTCTTCTTGCTGGGTCTTGGCATTATGGGATATCACAGCCGCCTGATAAATAGGGATGGAACTCTGGCCTGGGGATGTGGCTTAGTTACTTTCCCTGTTGCTGTGACAAGACACCTAACCAAGACAACGCAAGGAAGAGAGGGTTGTTTGCCTCCCAGCCGAAGAAACAGTCTGTGGTGGAGGCAAGGGCGTGGCATCAGGAGGGCATGGTCACAGGGCATCCCCCGTCAGGAAGCAGAGAGGGTCCAGGCCACTTCTTTACATCCAGTCCAGGCTTTCTGGAACGGCGCTGCCCACGTGTAGGTGGGTCTTTTCCAACCTCAGATATTCTTGTAGACATGCCCAGGGATTTTTCTCTTAGCTGATCCTAAAGCCTTTCAGGTTGGCAATCAATATCAATTACCATGGAATGAAAATGTAGAAAAATGGAAAGATTTGGCCCTTGAACTTATTGTGCTGGATTAACTAGCCTAGTGGCTCTTCACCTAGCTATTTGTTCTCTGGGAGGGTATATTTTTCTTGTTTCAGTTGTCTAGCAGACATGACCAGTCACCTCCCAAAGACATGTGCATGCTTTAAGTGATGTAGTTACTGCCCAGAAGCAGCTCTCCGCCTGTGGATGGCATTTCAGACTCCTTTCCTCTGGACTCGACACAGAACCACATGGCTGGTTCTCATTGGACAAGACATGAAACTTGCGAGTTCCAGGCCAAGATTGGAGTTCATAATCATTTGGCTTCTCACCACCTCTCTTCCTTTTCCTTCCCAGCTTCTGGGTGGTGGTTGCTGGTATGATTCCAGAGCTTAGGAGGTCAGAACTACAAGACAGGTCATTGTGGATCCAGAATAGAGCCACTCAGGGGGAGTGCTTGATTGGAAACATTTGCTCTGGTCTTTGTGGAGCCAAGAAATGAGGTCTATTGTGATTTTGGTGTTGACTTGCAGTAAGGTAATCTAAGTCTCCGTAACCAATGGAAACTGACTAAGCAGGAGTTAGGTGTTGACCATCGCCAGAAGCCTTTCACCTCAGGCATAGGAAACAGGAAATGATCCGTTGGTCCAGATTACTGTCATTTTATATCTTTAATTTAACTGATATTTTTGGAGATATCCTATTTTTGGAGATAGGCTCTTGCTATGTAGCCAGGGTTGGCCTTGAATGTTTGGTGATCCCCCTGCATCAGTCTTCAGCATACTGGGATTATAGACGTACACCATCATGCCTAGCCAGACTGGTTTGCGGAACTGGGGATATAGCTTAGGGTAGACCACTTGCCAAGAACATGTCAGGCCCCAGTTTTAATCCTTAGCGCTGCTTCTTTGAGTTCCTTTTTTATTTTCAATGAAGTAATTGATATGCAATGACTATTTCTCAGGAGATGCTTGCTTTAGTTTGATGGCCTGGCCTCTTCATTGTCATTGTGATAACTTTGATTTTATAGTTTACCAAACCCTTAGACTCCAACACTTGGGTTTCAGTTCTTAGATCTCTCTCTGTCTTAGCCTTTTGTGGACTGAGTTGACTTTGAGGCTGTGTTCTTCTGACTAGATGCCACTCTGGCCTGGCTTCCTGATGTCTCTAAGCTGCCTTACTATCATTGTGTGTTCCTCAGTTCTAGAAGCTTCTGGAGATGTCCATCCTGCTCAGTGTTCATTCATTTGTGAGAAACAAAGACTCAGGCTTTCTCAAGGAGCAGGGGGACTGCAAAGAAGTGCAGAAAAATGCCCAGGGGCCTAAGAACAGGCTACAGGTAGGCCTTGAGGAGATAAGGCAGCAAAGTGTTAACTATCAAGGTAGTGGTGCTGGCTCTGATTTCCCCTGCAGAGTTCGCAATGCACTCTTCTCCCTCCTGCCCTTCCTTACTTCCTTCCCTCCTGTCCCTTCAGTGTTTGAGTCCCATCCAGCGTTAGGCATGGAGGACAGAGTAGAAAACAAGCCGAAGACTCTGATTATATAGGAAACTTGTGAAAAAATAAGTAAATAAGACACACACTACAACATATACAAAAATCTGAGCCACCAAGAATGGTATAGGTTACAGTAAAGAATCATGGGCCATCTAACTTAGGGAGCTTGGTGAAGAATTCTCTCTGAGGAAGTGAACCGTGAGCTCAGACAGAGGCCAGGCATTTAGAGAGGGGGGACATTTCAAGTTGAGGAAGCAACAACTGCAAAGACAAGAAATGCCTTCAGCTTGAACAAGGACTAAAATCGGGAGATGGCAGACTGGGGTGCAGGTTGCAATAGGCACGTTGCATGGAAT